TGCAACCCCCTCTTCTGCTTGATCTTTCTCTTTTATTTACTCTCTTATATACTATTATATACTCTATATTTCTCGTATCACCTGTCCCCTCTCAACAAAACGTAAAGCCCTCGAGGACAGGGATTTTGTCTGCTTTACTCCATGCACCCGGCACACGATAGGAGCTCCAGACACACGCCCACCATCCGCGCCCACCGAGGCCTCTGACGTGCAGGTGGAGTCCCGCCCTCTGCTTTGCCTTTCAGCTGTGTTTAATGAGTGGAGAGATCATACAGATGAGCTCCAAGATGAGTCTGATCTTCGAGCCGGCCGACCTGGAGCAGGCCTCGCCAGCCACCGTGAGCAGGTGGGTCACCGCGCTCCGCTCCACCCGAGCAATGGGCGAGCTCCGGGAGTGCGTTAAGCCCCGGGAGATCGCAGTATTTGTTGTCGTTTGGATTTGTCATAAAATCGGTCCTTAATATGCATTGCTGGTTATAGGCTCAAATCAAGTAAGCACTTTGGAAAAGAATTTGACATTATCCCCTAAGATTGAAGCTTCATACCCCTCCTGACCCACACGTCTGCTCCCAAGTGCATCCCCGAAGGAACCTCGGCCCACACACAATGCAGACCTCTGCCCACGATGAGCATGTCCACAGTGGCACAGTTCACAGCAACAGCATTGGAAACAACCCAAATGCCCACTGACAGGAGTGACAATGTGTAACGAGGTCACCAATTATACAGCACTCAAAATAAATGGGTGGTACTAACATGCAACTCTGTGGATAGATCTAAGTCAAATACTCGTGTATTAAGGATGAAATCTTAGCAATATTCTGTATAAAAGTAAACCCACAATATTACATACATCATCGTGCCCTTTTTACATGGTTAAAAACTAAAATAAGTGCACATACACTTTAGGAACACACAGAGCTGCCATAAGCTATGTAAGACGGAAAATCAAGGAACAGGCGAACGCAGGGTTTTGCATGCTGTTACCTTGGGAGAAAGCCAGGGGCCAGGACAAGGGATCCCATATGGTTAGAAGGTTCTTGTCAAGACTCCAGCTTCTGCCTGGGTGATGAGTTCATGGGCACTTACTACATTATTGAAACATTAACTAAGAAAGGCCGCGCCTGCCCCGGCCAGGGGCTCGGCTGGTTGGAGCGTTTCCCGTACACCAAAAGGATCGATGTCTCTCTCTCACATCAATGTTTCTCTCTCTCTCTCTCTCTCTCTCTCTCTCTCTCTCTCTCTCTCTCCCCCTTCCTCTCTCTCTCTAAAAATCAATGAAAACACATCATTGGGTGAGGATTTTAAAAAAATAGAAAAATGGCCATGCTAATGAAGCATGTGCTAGGGATAATAATTAATCCAACCCTGTGCACCTGAAGTCCTTAAAAAATGAAATAAAATTGGCCCACATTCCCAAAGACGATGTGAGGGAGTAAAAAGAGCACACGGCAACTTAGGCCAACCTGGGCTCCCAGCCTGGTCATGCCACTTGCTAGCTGTGTGACCGCTCCCAAGTCACTCAGCCTCTCTGAGCCATGATCCCCTCGTGTCTAAGACATAGACCAAAAGGAGGAATATTTAGAGATGAAGGCCATTAGGGCCTAACATGGTGCTGGCATGCCATAGGGGGTCAGTGAATGAGACCCGGCATTGGTACCTAACCAGAGAGCACCTGGCTGTGACAGACAGAAGAACATGTGCTGCGTAAACCGTGCATGTCAGGCCCTGCCGTGATGTTCAGTGGTCAGAGCATCGGCCTGTGGCCTGGAGGGTCCTGGGTTCGATTCTGGTGAAGAGCGTTTGCCTTGATTGCAGGCTCAATCCCTGGCCCCATTCGGGGCACGTGCGGGAGGCAACCAATTGGTGTGTCTCTGACATCGATGTGTTTCTTCCTTTCTCTACTCCTCACTTGCACTCTGTCTAAAAATCAATGGAAAAAGTATCCTTGGGGCTCAGTCAGCGTGCCTCAGTGGTTGAGCGTCTACAGATGAACCGGGAGGTCAGGGCACATGCCTGGGTTGTGGGCTCGATTCCCAGTAGGGGGCATGCAGGAGGCAGCAGATCAGTGATTCTCCCTCATCATTGAGGTTTCTCTCTCTCTTTCCCTCTATCTTTCTCTTTGAAATCAATAAAAAAAAAATCTTTAAGTATGCTTGGGTGAGGATTAACAAACAAAAAATGTTGCATGTCAGTACATGGGAACATACACCAGGTAACGACAGCAGTTGCCATTGATCCGGAATTTCCTAGGTGCTGGGCATAGTGCTCAACTTTTTTTTTTTAGTGCTAACCTCTTCATTGGCATCGTATCCATTACAACAGCACTGTGAACTATATATCTTTTCTATTCCTCCATTTATAGACAAGGATGTAGAATCAGAGACAGTAAGGAAACCTTGCCCATGGTCACTCAATTAGTAGGATCTGGGGCTGGGATTCCAACCAGGTCCCTCTGACTCCCAAGCCCCCCCTTACCACTGGCCTCCGCCCTTCCTGACCAAATGTCTGGGCCCTTCCGCGTGGCCTGCGACCTGCCCCCGGCTCGGCCCGGACTGAGCACGGCCTCGCCCACGCGCTTCCAGGTGCGGCATGATCTACATGGAGCCCCACCAGCTGGGCTGGAAGCCCCTGAAGGACTCCTACATGGACACCCTGCCCTCCACTCTCACTGAGGAGCACAAGGAGCTGGTGAGCCGCTTCCCTCTCCCGCCTGGCTGCCCTCCTCCCCTGGAGGCCTTCACCTTCACCACCCCAGGAGGCGCGGAGGGCAGGGAGCCGCACCTGCCCCCGCCTGGCTTCCTGGCTGCCATTTCCCCCTCTTCCTTCTCCATGTGGTGGGGCGGGGCAACGAGGTTGGTTCTCCTCCCATCCCCCCTCTTCCCCCGGGGAGAATACCGGTGCCTGAGCCCAGTCCTGTGTGGTGGCAGGAAGGTCACCCGCCCCCGCTCCCCAGCAGAAGGCTCTAGAAGGGCTCTGCGTGGATGGAGGGGGCCGCCCTGCGGGAGGGGGCCGCCCTGCGTTCCTCTCCCCGGACACCCCCACCCTGTAACCTCACACCCCTCAGGGCGCTGGAGGCAGTGGACGTGGCTCCATCCCCATCTCTTCCTGAAAGGGGGTGGCCTGCAGGGGAGGGGCTCCTGCCACTCAGCCTAGGGAAGCAGCACTGAGCGGGGCTGGGGGTGCCCCCGGCTTTCCCTGCATCGATCGGATCCCCAAAACAGGTTCCCACGGATGACACCAAGAAGGGCTTTACTCCCACTGCGATTGCTCCGGGAGCCTTGTAGGACAGCTTCTGCCTGTCACATGGACATGCATGTGCAAGATGCCTGAGCACATGCGTTTCTGCAGACACATGTCCATGTGCACGCAGGGACCTTCCCAGCGGGCACAGGAAGCCCCAGGGACCCAGCACAAGGCTCACCCCTTGTCAGAGCCTGGGGCTCGGATCCGACCCTACCTGCCTCCAGCCTCAGTCACTAGCTCCAGCCTCAGGTCTGGTCTCCCCACCTCAGGCCTTTTGTACTTGGTGTTCCTCTTCCTGCAAACCTTGCCCCATTTCATCTGGTGAGGAGTCACCCTTGCTACCCGGGATGGGCGCGAGGCCTCCTTCTTGAAGAAGCCTCCCCCAGCCCGTCAGCAGGGCCCACCGTCCTGAGTGGTTCCCCCCCCCACCCCCGCCGAAGGAGCGGGCTTGGAGCAGCAGCTCGCCTGGAACGGGCAGGGAGCAGTTCCTTAACTAGCGCTCACTCCTCTTAGCTGCAAGCACGCCTCCCCATAGCCCCTTGTCCTTCCTGTCAGTGCCCTTTCTTGTGTCCTGGTAGTGGTTCCCACGGTTTGTAAGTATCTTACCCGTGTTCTTCCTTGTTTAACTACTAACTGTTGGTCTCTCCTGCCCCTCAGGAAGCTCCAGGAGGGCAGGGACTCGGCTCTCTTGCCCACCTTCTATCCTCAGCACCTCCTACACTGCAGTCACTCCATTAGTGCTTGTTGATGAAGTGCATATGCCACCCACCCGTGTACATACATTCATATGTTTGATAATGCATCTATACATTCACACGTACCCACATATATGTGCAACCTAGGAATGCGTTTATTTAGTGGTGACTTGTCTACTTCCAAAAAAGGACTCAAGATAATTTACAATAACAGTCACAAGTAAATTATAAGAAAAATGAAAAAAAACCTAAACTAAGAGGAGGAAGTGAGTCAAGTAATTTTTTTAAATATATTTTTATTGATTTCAGAGAGGAAGGGAGAGGGAGAGAGAGAAACGTCAATTATGAGAGAGAATCATTGATTGGCTGCCTTCTGCACGCCCCACACTGGGGATTGAGCCCACAACCTGGGCCATGTGCCCTTGACTGGAAATGGAACCCGGGACCCTTCAGTCCACAGGCCGACGCTCTATCCACTGAGCCAAACCGGCTAGGGCAAGTAGGTTTTTTTTTAAAGAGTAAATGGGGGGAGGGAGAGCAGAGACAAGAGACTGGGATTATTAACCCACAAGTGGGTCTGTATGCACATACAGGGAGTTAATGACAATGAGCCCTTGAACTTAGCGCTGCACTTGCTGAGGCCTGTGTACAGGACCTGCCTTACAAATGCCAGTCATTTGCAAATGGCTGTTTAGAACATTTTATAGAAACAAAGTCAGATGCCCTGTTTGGATCCTGAAGCTATTGCATGTGTCCTGCAGCTGACCTACTGCAGCGGCAGCCTCTCTGCCCACCCACAGTGGACCCGAGCGGGGCTGTGGCCTGTGCCCTTAAGTGGGAAGCTGGGAGGGGCACAGAGGCACTCACAGTAATCAGCAGTCTTACCAGCATCTCGCTCCCCCAGGTGTTCCAAGCTCTTGCTCCTAAACTCATTTTTTTTATGACATCTTGAATTTCACTTTCTGCTTTCAGGTCAATGACATGTTCATGTGGCTTGTCCAGCCCTGCCTGGAATTCATTCGCCTCCAGTGTAAATTTATGGTCCAAACATCTCCCACCCACCTTGCCTTCTCCATGATGAGACTGTACTCCTCTCTGCTTGGTAAGCGTTCCCACATGGGGTGGGCTGTGCCTTGGCTATTTCTTCCGCTCACACCCTGTTATTCCCCCCAACCCTGAGTTTCAGATCCGCATTTTGATCTAGAACAAGCAAGCCTTTGGAGTGGAGATAGTAGAGTTTGGTGGAAAGAGTCCACGTATTTTGGCTTTAGCTTTGATCTTGGATTGATTTTCTGGATGTTCTTGTGCAAATTATCCATCTCTTCTCAGTCTCAGGTTCCTCATCTGCACAATGGGAGTGATAATTCCTGTCTCTTTACCTAGCACGCGAGCATATCCTGGAGGGAAATGAATGCAGCTGGTACATGCAAACGTATCTCTGAATAAACATCCTGAAAAAATTAGACAGGAAATTAAGAAAACATACAATTATAAAAATCTAAATTTGAAGAACACCCAGATAGACTATGAAGAACTGCTTACATTAGTCGACAAACTAGAAGACTTTTCCAGGACATGGGAAGCACATACAACATAGGCCTGTTGGTTTAGCTGTGTGGGAGAAGCTCCCTGTAACTGTTTTACATAAATCAAACTTTCTTGAATTCTTCTAGAAGTGACAAGGGGTGTGTCCGTTTGGAAAACTTTTATTGGATGCCATTTCTTTCTCAAAATAGCATGTAACTCAAACTCAAGATGGACCTTCTTACCACTTCTGCTGCCTTAGCACTTTGCAGCCCATTCTTCGAAAAGTATGACAGATGCAGAGCAAAAGTGTAACGGGGTGAACTGTTGAGTGTACTTTCTTTGGCTAAATATTAATTTGGTTTTCTAAAATTAAAATTACACAGTGTTTCCAAAGCACACAGATTGCACGCAGTGTCTGTGTTTGCATGAATATTTGTGGGTTTTGTATACTTTCCCAGCTCTGTCTCTTGTTCTTGTGCAGTATCTCCTCCAGGAGAGAAGGCACCGTCATGAGAGAGGGCCGCTTCGTCCCCGACACTGAGGGACCTAATCGCTTGCCTTCCCCAGTCTATGGCCATGAGCCCGCTCAGAAGGGCCCAGATACAACTATTGAAATGGGGGGCTGGTTTGAACACACAAATATGATTTCAGAGCTCTAACCCTTTGCTCTGTTGATGTGAAAATGCAAGAAAATGATCGCTGTGATCCACAGGCTTTGAGATAAGGAACAGTAAATACATTTTTAGTGTTTTATTTTGAAATGACTTTATACAGTACTTAGAGAAAATTGCTGAAGAGTGTAGAGAGTCACATACCTTCACCTAGCTTTTTTTAATGTTAACATCTTATATAACCCAGGCACAATGATCAGAATAAGGAAATTAACCTTGATACTATGTTAACTATCCTATAGACTTTATTTGAATTTGACCAGTTTTCTCACAAATGTCCCTTTCCTGTTCCAGACTCCAATTCAAGATGCCACATTGTATTAATTATTGCATCTTCTTGGTCTCCTGCAGCCTGCGGCAGTCCTCTATTTTTCCTGGTCGCCCATAGCCGTGTCACCTGGTAACACTGTCAGTTACGTGACGGAATGCCTCGCAGCTTGTGGCCTCGTGTTTTCTCACAATCAGACGCGGGCTTGCGCCTTTGGGTTGAAGCCGTAGGAGGGTGCTGGGCCCTCAGTGCCCCGAGAGGCACGCGGTGTAGGGGCGCCTGTGTGCTGGTGACGGCTTTGGCAGCTGACTTTGACCAGCCATGTGTCTCTATTGCAAAGTGACTAGTTTCTCTGTTGTTAGCAAGTATCTTAGAGAAGATCATTTGAAACTATTTCTCCTCAAACTTCACCCACTGAGTTTAACCTCACTGGGTGATCTCTCTCCATCCCTGGGGTTGTCAGATTTATAGAGACGACAGTTGAATAGTGGTTGTCAGAAGGAGGGAGGGGGACGACGGGAGTGAGTGTGTGATGGGGACATAGTTCCAGTTTTGCAAGATGAGAGAACTCTGGAGACGGATGGTGGTGATGGCTCTTGGCACTGTGAACGCACTTCCCTGAAGTGCACACTTAAAACTGGTTAGTGGTAACTTGTCTGTTATGAGTATCTTACCACAGCAAAAAAATGGGGGGAAATGTATGTGGACAAAGGATCCGGCACGTGATGGCCACTCAGCCAATGTCCATCCTCTCTCCAGGCCCCTCACCGGCTCAGGCACCAGGTCACACCATTCTGCAGCTCCCCCTGAGTCCCTCTCCTTGCTTTCAGATGAAATCAGGGACATAAAGGAAGACGAAAGCGAAGGCTCTGAAGGCCTGACGAGCCAGCAGATCTTCCTCTGGCTGCAAGGCCTGTTCCTCTTTGCCCTGGTGTGGGCCGTGGCCGGCACCATCAACACGGACAGCAGGAAGAAGTTTGATCTGTTTTTCCGGAACCTGATCATGGGCATGGATGACAGCAGCCCCAGGCCCAAAAGTGTCAAGCTCACCAAAAACAACAGCTTTCCAGAGAAAGGTAATTCAGTGTCTTTTTGTGTTAGTATCGTTGTTTGGATCCTATGTTCCAAGGTTATGTGGACCAGTAGTAAAGCCCGACAAAAGCCGGGAAGATGCGCAGCCAGCCTGGGGGCTCCTCCTTCAGAGCTGTGGCCCTGAGGCAGGGCCTCATGGGGAATTTTAAGCACTTTTTTCATTTGGAAAAGTTGATGTTGTAACTGGACAAACAATGGGTCCTGCTGTCTGTTACTACTCGAGCCAATGAAACAGAGACAGGGTTGAATCATACGTGAGCGTTTGTTCCAGTACTGCCGGCAGCTGGGAGAGCAGCAGGTCAGCCACAGAAATCTGCTCTGCACCCCCCATAAGCCGGCTGCTATTATAGTAAAAGCACAAAGGAAAGCAGGCAGAAGGGCAGCTGACAGATCTGCAGAAGGACTAGGGTCTTCCTAGGGCTGAGTGACATGCAGGGGCTGGGGCTCCAGGGGAAACAGCCAAAGGGGGTGCCTGTGGGCAGTGAACAGGTGAGCAGGCTGGAGGTCTGCAAAGGCCTGTGGGTAGCAAAAGGGCCAGGGCTTCAAAGGGCTGGGACTCTGGTTTCTGCAGCAACTTGTTCATCTTCCCATGATGACAGGCAGCTCCAAACGGGGAGGAAGGCTGCACCTCCAGGGCAGCTCCAGCCAGGGTGGAAGTGCCTTCTCTAATCAAACAAAGCATCATGGCTAACAGAGCAGGATAAATATTTCTCACAATTCTAGCTGGTTCCCCACATTCTACTGTTGCCCCCTTTCTTTCTTTTTTTTTCTTGTCAATGAATACTACTTCTTTTTTTAATTTTTAAATTAAATCTTTATTGTTCAGATTATTGCAGTTGTTCCTCTTTTTTCCCCCCATAGCTCCCCTCCACCCGGTTCCCACCCCACCCTCTGCCCTTACCCTCCCCCCCACTGTCCTCATCCATAGGTGTATGATTTTTGTCCAGTCTCTTCCCCCACCCCCACACCCCTTCCTCCCTGAGAATAGTCAGTCCACTCCCTTTCTATGCCCCTGATTCTATTATATTCACCAGTTTATTATGTTCATCAAATTATTTATTCACTTGATTTTTAGATTCACTTGTTGATATGTATTTGTTGTTCATAATTTTTATCTTTACCTTTTTCTTCTTCTTCCTCTTCTTAAAGGATACCTTTCAGCATTTCATATAATACTGGTTTGGTGGTGATGAACTCCTTTAGCTTTTTCTTATCTGTGAAGCTCTTTATCTGACCTTCAGTTCTGAATGATAGCTTTGCTGAGTAATGTAATCTTGGTTGTAGGTTCTTGCTATTCATCACTTTGAATATTTCTTGCCACTCCCTTCTGGCCTGCAAAGTTTCTGTTGAGAAATCAGCTGACAGTCGTATGGGTACTCCCTTATAGGTAACTAACTGTTTTTCTCTTGCTACTTTTAAGATTCTCTCTTTGTCTTTTACTCTTGGCATTTTAATTATGATGTGTCTTGGTGTGATCTCTTTGGATTCCTTTTGTTTGGGGTTCTCTGTGCATCCTGGACTTGTAAATCTATTTCTTTCACCAGGTAGGGGAAGTTTTCTGTCATTATTTCTTCAAATAGGTTTTCAATATCTTGCTCTCTCTCTTCTCCTGGCACCCCCATAATTCGGATGTTGGTACGCTTGAAGCTGTCCCAGAGGCTCCTTACACTATCTTCATATTTTTGGATTCTTTTTTCTTTTTGTTTTTTCGGTTGGGTGTTTTTTGCTTCTTCATATTTCAAATCTTTGACTTGATTCTTGCGATCCTCTAGTCTGCTGTTGGAACTCTGCATAATATTCTTTATTTCAGTCAGTGTATGTTTAATTTCTAGTTGGTCCTTTTTCATATCCTCGAGGATCTCACTAGATTTATGGAGGGTCTCACTAAATTTATCGGCGGTTTCTAGAAAATTCTTGAAAAACCTTATAACTGTGGTTTTAAACTCTATATCCAGTAGTTTGCTTTCCTCCATTTCTGTCATTTGTGACCTGTTTCTTTGTCTCCACATTTTGGCTGCTTCCCTGTGTTGATAGAGTGGCTTTCTGTGCTAGGTGTCCTATAGGGCCCAGTGGCTCAGCCTCCCCAATTACCTGAGGTGGACACTCTTGGTGCACCCCTTTGTGGGCTGTGTGCACAGTCTTGTTGTAGTTAAGCCTTGATTGTTGTAGGTATCATTGGGAGGAATTGACCTCCAAGCCAATTGGCTGTGAGAATCAGCTGTGTCTACAGTGGGAGAACTTCTGTGCTGGAGACACCCTTATGGGGCAAGACTTGCTTCAGTGGGGCTTTGGTGCTCACTGAGTCTGCCCCCTGAGTGTGTCCCTTATGGATCTGAGGAGTTGTAATCTGGATGGTCCCACTCTGACCATTGGATACACTGGCTCTTGGATCTCTAAGGAGGTGCTAATTTAGCCTCTGCCTGAGGCTACCCAGCAGGAGCTACGGAGAGATCTGCAGATTCCTCTTCTTTGTTTGGGGTTTGGAGGTGCCCAGATGAGGCCCAGCTGTGAAGCAATGCAAGCTGCTTGGTCCTTCTTTTGGATGTTCTGGTCTCTCTGACCCAGCTGCAGTTTGTTAGGTAATTTTAGATTGCAAAGGGCCAAGGCATTCATATGCAAAAGCCTCTGCACACAGCTTGAGTGGGGCGGGGTCTCAGTGAATCAACAGGGTGGAGCAAACAGCTATGGCTGATACTCAGTCCTGCCCTAAGAGGCCCCTGATCTCAGTGTTCCCGTGGTACTCACTGCAAGCACCTCTGAGAGAAAGCCGACCTCAAGTTCTGCCCGATCCCAGACAGTCCAGTTTCTCCCCATATGAGTCTGGGTCCCCAGAGACTCACCCTGAACTGGCATTCAGAGCAGTCGGGAGCTTGTGTCTCCCTCCCAATTGAAAAAGACAGCCGAATCCTCAGTTGCCAGCCCTTTCTGCGTACCTCCATACCTTTGCACTTTACTTCCACACCTCCTCTGAGTCTCAGTGTGCTTTTCTCTTTCCTTCTAGTTGTAGAATTTTCACTCAGCCAGCCTTCCTGTGGTTCTGGATGATGTCTGTTTTGTCTTTTAGTTGTATTTTTGAAGTGATTGTGAGAGGCAGCGATTTCAGTTCTTTACCTATGCCGCCATCTTGGTTCACTGCCCCCTTTCAATGTGACATTTTTTTCTTTGCAAAATGACCTGTAATGCCCTCAAATGGGCTCCAGGAAACAAACTGAGAAGTGTAGTCACTTTGTCTGTCTACCCCCTTCTAGTCCTGTTCTGTGTGTTCACTGGGTCAGACTGTGATTAAAGTATTAATAATATTCCTTTCATTTTGTCATTAAAATCTAATATGATATTGGAACATTTACGATTTTACTATATACATCATCTTCAAAATGATCACTTTAATGCTCTATTAATATTGTCTTATATGTGTGACACTATTTACTAAAAGACTGAAAGATTTTTTAAGTAGCTTTTACTATTTTTTTCTTACCACCCAACTAATACATTACATAAAATTTAGAAAATACAGAGAAGGGAATAAAAGGAAACAAAGATCAATGATAACCCCACTATCTGGAAATATCCCTTTTATTTTTTCTTCGTTTCCTATATTTCTATTACAAAAAGAGGATCACACTATAAGTACTTCCAAACAGTGTTACATCTTATGATTATAAAAAAAGTGTATGAAGGGCCAGTAGGGCACTTCCTGTGGTGATGGTGGTGTGTGTAAGAGAGTTGGGCTACACGGATATGTCGCCGGCGTCCTGCACGCCTCCTGTGCTGCCTGCTGTCTCCCAGCAGAGACTCGCGAGGCCCTAGGCCAGCCATTAGTTATGTGCATTCCTTTCCCCCTTTTTTGGGGAGGGAAGGCAATTTTATTCTTCTATCTTTTACATAGTAAAAATACACATCACAAAATTTACCGTTTTAACCATTTTTCAGTGTACAGTCAGTGGTATTAAATACACTGACATTGTGGTCCAACCACCACCATCATCTGGAGAACATTTCTCGCTTCCCAGACTGAACTCCACATCCTCAAACATTAGCTCCCCCTTCCCTCCTTTCCTAGCCCCTGGCCACATCCATTTAACTTCCTATTTCTACACGTTCAACTACTCCAGGAACCTCATAGAAATAGAATCATATAGTATTTGTCCTTTTTTGACTAGTTTACTTTCTTAGTCTTCCAAGTTTATCCAGGCTGTAGCATGTGTCAGAACTTCCTTCCTTTTTAAGGCTGAATAATGTTCTATTGTTTATTGTATAGACAATATTTTTTTATCCATTTATCCGTTGATGGACACTTGGGTTGCTTCCCTTTTTGGCTATGGTGAGTAACGCTATTATGAACATGGGTGTGCAGATATCTGTCTGAGTCTCGTGCTTTCTGTTCTTTGGGGTATATGCCCAAAAGTTGAGTTCCTGGATCATGTGGTCATTTATGTTTAATTTTTTTGAGGAGCTGCCATTATGTTTTCCATGCTGGTTGCACCATTTTATATCCCCACCAGCACTGCACACGCATTCCGATGACTCCACACCTCATGTCCTGTTGTTTTGCTTTGTTTATAGTAGCCATCTTGATGGGTGTGAAGTTCATTTTTAATTTCTTAAGAAAAAAACATGAATAGATCATATAATGAAAAGATATAACTCCTGGCAACTACTGCTCATATTACTGTCTCTATTGCATCTCCTTTTCCAGGGGGTGGTCTGTTACAGTATTCAGGCTTTTCAGATTGGCCCCTGTTCCTTAGTAAGTTTCCTTCATGTCTTTTGTGCCTTCATAGCTCCTTTCTTTTTATCACTGAAAAATATTCCATTGTGTGGATGTTTATCAATATACCTATTGAAGGACATTTTTGCTTATTCCAGTTTTGGGAAAGTAGGAGTAAAGCAGCTGCAAACACTTGTGTAAAAGTTTAGTGTAGACCTATGTTTTCGGTTCATTTGGTAAATGCCCTGGAACACAGCAGTGGATCGCATGGTGAAC